GAAAGCCAGGCTGTACTGCTAAGGACTGTAACAGACTCACATCTTTTGGGGATCAGGCCCAGAGGAGAGTTGTGTAACACACTATAATCCCACACCTCCCAGGCACTAACACTATCACACATTAGTGAGCTTTCAAAATCACTTCCCTATAGTACACATTGCTGCACCATGTAGATGAGCCCTTACAATACTTGCAATTTTAATGCCACACTGGTGCTGGGTTTGTCCTTTTGTAATACATTTGTTTTTAATAATTATCCCGCTCTCAATCTGTAATATGAATGTGTTTCTGAAAGACTGCACTGTTGACATAGCGATAGGCCAGCTGCTGCTTTGAAGTGGCTTTGAGATGTTGTGCTGGTGTGATTATACTCTTATTTGCATACATTTATATATTTCCTGCCGTAGTAGTGACTTAGTCATTTTGAAAGACAAGGTGGGTAAAAATATCTTTTATTAGACTAACCTCTGCTGGTGAAAGACAAGCTTTCAAACTGCAAAGAGTTTGGTGAGGGAGCATTTAGAGGAATCATTTGATGAATTTAATAAGAATATGATTGATGTTCAAATTAGAGAGGCCTTCAAGACATTTAATTAACACAAGAGGTCACAAGACAACTACAATATCAAAACAAGTTAACTCATTTATATTATTAGGTGGCAATAGACATATCAATGAAAGAGTTAATAAAATGCCTCATTTTGTGGAAAGGAAAATTGAAATCAATCTTGTAAAGGAGTGAAGCGACTTTGTAATGGCTCTGAAGGACTTGGTAAGGAGCAGCCCAATAGATAGCTACTTGCAAACTGTGGTATTGGGGATCAGCTTGTTGCTGAGTTTACACAACTGTCACTCTTTCCCGAGTCCTCAGGCATGCATTAAAGATTTCCATTTGGAATAGTCTAGCCGTCATTCACGTGCATGTGTCTCATTCCAGAAGTCCCGTATGATTTCTGAATTTGTCCTGTCTCTTAAAAGGCGAGCTTCCCCACACACACACTTTTCAAACTGTACATGTGTTCAGGGTTTCTATTCATGTCTCTGTACATGTCCAGTAGCAGTCTTTTCTGCTTCCCCTTTTCCTAGACCAGAGATTTAGGTGCCTTTCCAACATTGTGAATCCAGTTAACTTGACCCTATGAATACTTTGGGACACCCATCCTGCCTGAGTAGCACTGAAACGAAGAACAAGAAATTAAAAAGTGTTAATAACCATAGCAACAGCCCATCCATTTCCTGAAATACCAAAGAATGAGACTAAAAGTACAATCACAGTTCTGTTTCAGATTCTAAATGTATTCTTGTAAGACACTTCTCCTGGACCATAGACAAATAATTCACAAAAACACGGATAAAATTACAAGTGAGCAGGGGATGCTATTTTAACTGATTTACGGAATAAAGATAGGGGGCCCAGGAGATTGCAGCTCTAAATAAACTAACAGGACCTTCAAGAATGTCTTTGTTTATGGTCCCATCCAGGAAAAGAAAAGCAATCTCAGAAAGCATGAAGACCAATGAGGATCATTTGCACCTCTGATATCAAAGGACTGCCTCTGAATGGAAAGGCTGTGCAAGGTTCCATCTGGGTGGAAAGAAATGTGCACTGTCCCAGAAATTGATTGCAAGGTTGGAGGACTTGCTGAGTGAGTTATTCAGATACTGGAGGGGAAAGATTAACAAGAATCTCCATTACATAGGTAGAGAACTGCATTACATATCCAAGATCAGTATGAATGCACACCAGCATTCTTACAAAATATTCTTCCCTCAGCCACCAAGCCTCCAACATCAATCTGTCATTACATTTTATAAGCTACATACCAGACAGAGGACCTTTCATCCTGTTTCCTCCTTCACCCAAATCAGCTTGGACACTGAAGATCCAGGGTTCTTAAAAGGAGATCCTGAAAATTCTCATTGTGTCCAGTGTCTCATAGCCCAGCTCTTCGACCTGTTTCTCTGCCCGTTAACAGAGCCCGTCCTCTCCTTTTCTACATGGCACTTTGGTGCTATCCTGAAGCACCTCCAGCAGGGTACAGGTGATACCTGAGGATTCTCTCCAACTCACCACAGAAGGGGCAAGTTTCTAACACAAACTGAGGCAATAACAGCTGATGAGGGATATTCTGTCCCTTCAGCAACCCAGTCATACTTAAAGTATCACTTATGACTGAGTTTTGTGATCCCTGTCCATGCTGGTATGTCAAATCAAATGTAATCCAAAAATAGGCTGTAAAGCTTGTGCATCACTAGAAGCATTTGTGTGCTTAAAGCGAAAGTTTAAGCACACAAGGGTTAGCATGCCAAGTTTCTCTAGTGTGGACAGTGCCTGTGTAGACTGACTGAAGTCTACTTTGAACATAATTGACAAGTTACCTCTATCTACAGGTACTCCACAAATAAAGCCAAAGTTGGCACAACCATAATAATTTCCTTTGTGATATCACTACTGAACTGATTATATGTCTTCAGATAGATATCTTCTATGTTGAAGGGGTGGGGAAATCACATGCACAGGGAACTGGAACTACAACTTGGTCAGCTAGCTCCAAAAGCTATGCCAAAAATCTATTTTTAGCAATAGCAAGTTTCTTTTCCTTTCTATAGGCCAGCCACTAGAAGGCATCATGCAATTCAAAAATGTGTGACACAGCTTTTAATTTGGCTTGTCTACTTTAGAAATGCAAATCATGTTTGTCCTAGAAGATCATGGTGACTGGGAAACAATAGAATCACGAGACACAAAACAGCACAAGGTAAGCATAACTGGGTTAATGGGTCTGACAAAAAAGGGAGCCAAGCCTGTGGCTAGGTAGTTGAGAGATGGGGTGTGGAGAGATGGGGTGTGTTCACCTTGACAAGGGTGTTGAGCATTGTGATAAGGTGAACCCTGTGGGATGGAAGCCAATTGGATTGGGGATGAGAGGACAGCCCTGCCTGAGGGGAGTTCAGGTGATCTCCTGGCGGTCTCTCTCTGCCTGGGGTTTGCCTATTTTGCCCAGAAAGGGGTTAGCTGAACTACTCTAGAAGAGAGCAACTGGTCTTGGAAACACCGAGAAAACCCCCTACCGTGTTGGGCCTTTTTCCACTGAGAACACCTATTGCTGCTGCAAAGGTTAGTCCCCCGAGCGAATTAGCACCCTAAACACCTCACTACACTCAAACAGCTTCAGACCTGCAATGACTCAAAATATATGGGCACCTCCACGTTACAGAGCCCATTAGCATGGAATAAACTGGACTCATGAATCCAGGGAAATCCACCTGGAGCTGTGTTACTTGTGTATTGTATATTACTGATATACCCACTCCAAATCCATCTTCCCCTTCCCTTTATAGGCTTCCTCTGTACTTCCCTTATAAATAAAATGTACACTGATTCAGCCATTACAGTGGTGTTAGAAGAGTATATCTACAAGGTATCAGGCAAGTCAGATGGGAAAGTACATAAACAGGAATAGTTGAAACCACAAAGATGGTATGGTAGTGTTCCTGACACCGTTAGCAGCTAATAACCCAGACCGTTGAAGCCAAAGCAGAGGGACACTGGCTCCTGTTCATGATTAGTTGCCATCAGGGGTTTGGCAACCTGTAAAATCTTCTTACATATGTAATTATGAGGCTTAGTCAATGTCTAGAACTGTTTTGTGTAGCATTTAACAGTAGGGGCTAATTAACATGTTCAATAAATTAATTCTTTGTTAAATATTCAGCACCTGTGCCCTTTCAAGTAAGGCATCAGAAATCATAATAAATGTACTTCAAGATGTCTAACAGATCCTCCATGAATAGCAGAGAATAATCAGGCTTAACACTGCTGATATTTCTAACATAAGGCACAAACCAGGGTGGGAAATACCCCAATATTCAGATTGCCTTTATATACCACACAGTAACAAAAAAGGACAATCCCATTTTTTCAAAAGCTGGCACAAATCACCATTATAGAACTCTTATCGTAGGCAGAAGAGGGAACCTATTTCACACCACTCCCAAAGAAACACTGTAAGCTTAAGAGTTTTTTGGGTTTTTTTTTTAATTCTGTTACTGTTACTAATTTTTTTAGGATTATTATAAAATAATTCTAATGATAAGTGTACTCAAAAACTCATCTGAAAATTTCAAAATAAAAAAAATTTCAGATTTGTAAAGCTAGTTTTTCTACAAAATCCATGTCTGGGACCTAACTTGAGCTAACCCAACTTTATACTGCATAAAGACCTGATGCTGCAGAGAGCCCAAGCCCACCTAGACCAGTCAGCACTAATATTTCAGTTCTAGTGATTAATTATGGTGTCCCTCCACTAGTGACCATCAATAGAAAAATCCCAATCGCTGCCACCTCAGTTTGTTCTCATAGCTGCAGGTTCTCTCTCACGTTACTTCTCTTGCTCTGCTGAGATAGTTAGGAAGCTAAAACAGGGAGAAAAGGCAACCACCTGGCTTACTAACACCTGCCCAAAACAGCAGCACAAATTAGGGCCAGGGGTTGAGAGCCTGAAGGAGACAGAATCATGGTGGACAAGGGCCCAGGAGCTAAGGGACCCCAAACAGCCTCACATGTAGCAGCTTGGGGAAGACAGGTATGGGGAGAGGCACAAAGAACTCAGAAGCAGAAAGACATTCAGGAAATATACAGAGAATAAATACTATGGATATTTCATGTTCATGAGAGCAAGGCTATATGAGGTGACTCTCCACTTGTGGGCCCACCCAAAAGTCACTATGCTCCTTACATTACAGTATCCCTTTCAGCCATGATTAAGCAACCGTGACTTTTACACTTGTCAGAAGAAAATTATGCCATCTAGGTAGAGCTACATTTTCCTGGAAACGGCAAAAGGAAAACCACATTAAACAGTAGGCCAACCGCAGTCCTCTTTACTAGGTTTTCTTTGGACCAAATCCTATTCCCACTTATAGTCACTCAAATGACAGCAAGATCAGGCATTGTTTTCTTACGTGAAACAAACAAAACCATGTGTATACATTATACCTGTGCCTGTGCTCATCGTGTCCTTGCCCGTGGATCAAGTAGCCTCCAAGGTTTTTGCCCCCCTTGCTGGTATCCACGTGAGGAATTAACACATCCTCTAAACCCAGATCAAAGCGTTTGTGTTTGGAAGAATCCGGGAGGAAGAAGAATGCCCCAAAACAGAGGGTGATGAAGGCACTAAGAATGAGGAGGAGGATAAATTTTTCGGACAGTCTCAAGGTAGCCCTGTGGTGTGGGAAGGAGGAGGTCCCAAGGTTCAGGGGGGGGATTCTACGCCCAGACAGGGGCAGCAGAGCGGGGGTGGTCATTGTCCCTCTAACAGCGGACCGGAGAGTTTATATCATCTCATATCCGCCAGCCAGGACCGGGGCAGCCGGAGAGCGGCAAACCGCAGCTGTTCAGCGCTCACCGAGCCGTGCGCCGATCCAACCGCCGGCGCGTCCACCCTTGGCTTCCCCACACCAGCTCAGCAGGCGCCGTCCCCTTGCTCCTCGCCCCGGGCCGCTCGGTCACGGCACAGCCACCCCCGGCCCGGCCCGGCCCGGCCCTGCAGCGACCGGCTCAGCGGCGAGAGGCCGGGCTGCGCCGGCGCCCCCCGCACCCACTGGGCCACATGCCGGGCTCGCGGGGCCGGGCAGGCGGATTCCGGGCGCTGCTCCGGGGCCGCTCCGCGGCGGTAACTACTGGGCGCCGGAAACCCCGCGGCGGCAGGAGGGTCGCTGGCGGGCGGCGGCGGTTGCCCAGCGTGCGCGAGGCCGAGCCAGGTGACGGCTCATTCCGCTCCCCCCGCCCAGGCCCCCGAGCAGAGCCAAGCACGGCAACGGCAGCAGCAGACAACGCTGATTCCGCTCCTCCTGCCCCCGCTGCTACGCATGCGCTACACTAGCCCCCCACAGAGGACGCACACATTCCGCGCATGCGCGTTGGGGGATCCGATGTACTGAGCTGCCTCCCCGGGCGGAGCAGTGGTGGGGTAGTGATGCGCGCGGGGGGCGCTGCGATAGGGTGTGGTCTGCCCTGAGCAGGGCTGGCTCCAGGCACCAGCTTCTCAAGCAGGTTCTTGGGGCGGCCGCTCCGGAGAGGGGCGGCAGGTCCAGGTATTCGGCGGCAGTTCGGCGGACGGTCCCTCACTCCACCTGGGAGTGAAGGACCTCCCACCGAATTGCCGCCGCAGATCGCGATCGCGGCTTTTTTTAGATCGCGATCAGGGCTTTTTGTTGTTGTTGTTGTTTTTGTTTTGGCTGCTTGGGGCGGCCAAAACCCTGGAGCTGGCCCTGGCCCTGAGACTGGGACGGCGAGTGGCGTCCTGATAAGGGAGGTTATGTTACAGGTAGCATACGTCAGTATCTTCCAGTGTTGGAAACACCAACCCAGGAATCAACCCTGTAGCAAACCTCGTTGTCTACTCTGTCCCCATATCTACTCTGGCGACACCATCAGAGGACCCAACCATATCAGCCACACCATCAAGGGCTCATTCATCTGCACATCCACTAATGTTATATGTGCCATCATGTGTCAGCAATGCCCCTCTGCCATGTACATTGGCCAAACTGGACAGTCCCTCCGCAAAAGAATAAATGGACACAAATCGGACATCAGGAATGGTAACATACATAAATCAGTAAGTGAACACTTCAGTCTCCCTGGTCATTCTATTACAGATTTAAAAGTCACTATCATTGAACAAAAAAACTTCAGAAACAGACTTCAAAAAGAAACAGCAGAACTAAAATTCATTTGCAAATTTAATACCATTAATCTGGGCTTGAATTGGGACTGAGAGTGGCTGGCTCATTACAGAAGCAGCTTTTCCTCTCCTGGAATTGACACCTTCTCATCTATTATTGGGAGTGGTCTACATCCACCCTGATTGAATTGGCCCTGTCAACACTGGTTCTCCACTTGCGAAGTAACTCCCTGCTCTCCATGTATCAGTATATAATGCCTGCATCTGTAACTTTCACTCTATGCATCCGAAGAAGTGAGGTTTTTACCCACGAAAGCTTATGCCCAAATAAATCTGTTAGTCTTTAAGGTGCCACCAGACTCCTTGTTGTTTTTGTAGAAACAGACTAACATGGCTACCCCCTGATACTTTCCAGTATTGTTGTAAATTGATCCAGTATAAGTAAAACATGCGCACGCACCACCTGTTATCCCACCCTGGAACCAGTTTAAGATGTGATTGTGACAAACTGGGACTGTTCTTGCTGTGGTTTGTGAATGCTGACAGGGAAGTGTGGCTAGGATAGTCTGCATTGGGGGATGGGAAACTGACTGACGGAGAATACCTGAGCATGTAACATAAGAACCCAGGAAGGAGTTAGAGGCCAGGTGACACCTTTGCCCAGGAAACTGAACAAAGGCTGTGGGAGGGGTCGCTGAAGAAGAGTTTCAGGAGCTGCCTGAAGAGATGGCTGGGAGGCAGACAGGGCTCTGACCTCCCAAGGGGCTGGGGCGCCCTGAGACCCCAGGATGGACCCAACTGAGGGGGGTCCTGTTGTCTGTGCCTGCAAGACCTGTCTTGGACTGTATTTCTGTCGTCTAAATAAATCTTCTGCTTTACTGACTGGCTGAGAGTTATGGTAAATCGCAGGAAACCGGGGGTGCAGGGCCCTGAGTCCCCCACACTCCGTGACAACTGGTGGCAGCGGTGGGATCTACTGCACCCCGTGGACGGCGCTTCCTGCAATAAGTGACTGGGGAGCAGTAAAACAAAGGGGGATTGACGGGGACCAGGCACTAAAGAGTCAGAGAGAGACGGTTATCACCCCTGGGAGCGTGTGACCAGCGAGAAGAACTTTTGCAGTAACAGGGTCCCCCGGGGGATTGCAGCGAGTGGTCTCAGGGGCGGAGGAGTCTGCAGCTCGACCCTGGCAGAGAGGTGGTGACCTCGAGAAGGGCTGGCACACTAGGGGTCTCCCTGGAAACTGTGGGGAGCGGTGAGCACACAGGCCGGCGAGTGGCCAGCAGAAGGATGTATGCTAAACGCCTCAAGAGCGACCTGGTGGAGCTGTGCAGGCAGAGGGGGCTTTGCATTGGGAGGTCCACCAAAGAACAGCTAATTGCCCAGCTGGAGGAGAGGGATCGCTTGGATGAACCGAGCCCTGTCGCTGAGAGAAGCCGCCCGGCGAATGCAGCGTGGGCCCCGGGGCCTGACATGGCTGGGAGGGGTCAGACTGCTGCCAAGGACATCCCGAGACCCTGCCTACCTATACCTAGGGGAGGGGTTGGGGGAAGCCCAGCGAATACCGAAGGCACCCTGACCCCGGCAGCCAGCAGGGGATCGTCCCGGTGAAGCTCCCCGTCCCGGGAGCGGATGCGACTGGAATGTGACAGGGAGCTGAAACTAAAAAAGCTCAAGTTAAGGCAGCAAGAACTGAAGCAGGAGTGGGAAAAGAAGGAGAAACAACGTCAGCATGAGCGGAAAGAACGGGAAAAACAGCATCAGCATGAGGAGAACCAACGTCAGCATGAGCTGGAACTGGCCAGAGTGAGAAGCAGTGGGGCCCCGGCTGCGGTGAGCGAGGGGGAACCCAAGACTGCAAAGAGCTTTGATAAGTGCTTTCTGGCCCAACGTAAGGAGGGGGAGGACATGCCTCAATACCTGCGAGCTGCTCCAGGTTGACCCTGCAGAGAGGCTCCAGTTTCTCATCCCCTCACTGAACCCCACAGCCAGAAAGGTGTACAACCAACTGAAAGGGACAGAGACAGGGGACTACAAACTGTTCAAAAAGGCCCTGCTCCGTGAGTTTGGGCTGACCCCTAAGATGTACCGGCAAAGGTTCCAAAATCAGCATAAAACCCGTGAGGTCACATACCTACAACTAGCCAGCCGGGCGCAGGGATATGCCCACAAGTGAACGGCTGGGGCCCAAACTATAGAGGATCTGCTTGACCTAGTCGTACTGAAGCACGTGTATGAGCAATGCCCACCCGACCTGAGGCGATGGTTGATGGCCCAAAAGCCAGAGAACCTGCAGCACGCAGGCCAGTTAGCCGACAAGTTTGTAAACAGTCGGGCAGGGGATAACCGAGAGGAGTCCCAAAGGAACAGGCCCGCCACAATGCATCATGGAACCTCCCAGCGAGGAAATAGGAAACCCCCCCACCAAAGGGAAACATCCAGTGTCAGGGCCATTCGACCCACTCGAGGGGACCCACTCGAGACCCATAGCATGGACTGCTATCACTGTGGCCAGAAAGGCCATGTACGGGCCCAGTGCCCCAGGCTCAGGAACAGACTGAGCAGACCGAACCCACAGAGGGTTAACTGGGTAAAAACCCAGCCGGGCAAGAGGCAGCATTCCCAGGAAAGGGGAGCTGGCAGAGTACCACCTGCTAAGGAGGGAGGAGAGCTCCAAGCCAGCTCCTCTGGGGGGCTGGATGCTCCAGACTCAGGGTTTTTGGTTTATACGGTGGGCGCGGGGCTGTCGCTCCAGAGAGAGTACCTTGTTCCCCTGGAGGTGGATAGGAGGAAGGTCAATGAATACTGGAATACGGGCACAGAGGTGACGCTGGCCTAGCCCGAGGTGGTGGCCCCAGATTGGGTGGTGCCCAACACCTACCTGACCCTGACGGGGGTGGGTGGGACCCCATTCAAGGTACCTGTGGTGAGGGTACACCTAAAGTGGGAGGCCAAGGAGGGCCCCAAGGATGTGGGGGTACACCCGTATTTGCCCACTGAGGTGTTGATGGCGGAGGACCTGGAGGACTGGCCAAGCAACCCCCAGGGTGCCCTGGTCATGACCTGTAGCCAGAGCCGGCAAGGGGCACTGCGCCCTGACCTTGGGGAGGGTGCCTTGCCTGAGGCGCAGAACCCTAACCTGGTGGGGAGGAAACGCCCAGGGACACGGCTCAGGGAGGTTGCGGCTTCAGACCCAGCCAGCGAGAAAGAGCAGGTGGCCATCCCTGTCCCAGATGCTAAGTTCCAGGCCGAGTTGCAAAAAAATCCCTCCTTGCGGAAAATAAGGGACCTGGCCGACCTCAGTGCGGTACAGACCATGGGGAGAGGGTGCCGGAAAAGGTTCCTGTGGGAAAAAGGGTTCCTGTACCAAAAATGGGCTCCCCCAGAAAAAATGGAGTCAGGGGGGATCAGGAGGCAGCTGGTGGTGCCCCAGAAGTATCGCCACCAGCTGCTGTACTGGGCCCATGATATTCCCCTCTCAGGGCACCAAAAAACCTGGCGTACCCAGCAAAGGCTGCTACGAAGCTTTTACTGGCCTGGGGTCTTTGTTACTGTCCGACAGTACTGCGGATCCTGTGACCCCTGTCAGAGGGGGAGGAAGGCCCGGAACAAGGGGAAAACGGCTTTAGGACCCATGCCCAGCATAGAGAAGCCTTTCCAGAGGGTGGCCAAGGTTCAAAGGGGGGCTCTAAACCAAAAGAGCCCGAATCACCAACCTCCAGACTAAAACGCTGGGAGAAAACCCCAGCCCAGTTGAAACCCCAGGGGTACTGGGGTGGAAAAAGGGCACAGGCCACATAAACCTTCCCACATGCAAACTGCGAGTGCCATCAAGCAACCCCAACCTAAGGGGGGGCGTAAAACTGGAGGGGCCTGGTGTAATTCTCACCAAGAAATGAAAGGAATGCTGGGGCATCCACATGAAGGGGGGTAGATTCAAACTTCCCCGGGTCACTGGCTAAAGCGACCCTGCTCAGTTCGGTCTCGAAGGGGGGAAAGATGTGACAAACTGGGACTGTTCTTGCTGTGGTCTGTGAATGCTGACAGGGAAGTGTGGCTAGGATAGTCTGCCTTGTGGGATGGGAAACTGACCGATGGAGAATACCTGAGCATGTAACATAAGAACCCAGGAAGGGGTTAGAGGCCAGGTGACACCTTTGCCCAGGGAAACTGAACAAAGGCTGTGGGA